GCTCCCCGCGCAAATGTGCGCGCCGGGCGCGGGAGAGCCGAGCCCCCTCCAGGGAGTTTTCCCACTGGGCAGTGGCCCAAGGAAACCTTGCAGCCTCTTCCCTCCCCTTTGTTCTCCGGCGCTCCGGCCGCGGGGCCGCTGCGGGAAACGCGGGGGGAGGGGAAGGTGGGGTTTCTCCCAATGAAAGAGGGCGACTGTGTCGTTCTTGCTCCGAGGTTGATTGTTCCCAGATGTGCCTTGCAAAAACATCTGGATTCTTGGAGCGCTGGCCCCCTGCGCCGAGCCGAAAGGAACGTTCCTCCATAAACTTGTTCTCCGGCGCTCCGGCCGCGGGGCCGCTGCGGGAAACGCGGGGGGAGGGGAAGGTGGGGTTTCTCCCAATGAAAGAGGGCGACTGTGTCGTTCTTGCTCCGAGGTTGATTGTTCCCAGATGTGCCTTGCAAAAACATCTGGATTCTTGGAGCGCTGGCCCCCTGCGCCGAGCCGAAAGGAACGTTCCTCCATAAACTTGAGCAGACTTGCCCGCTTCCAGCTCAGCCTCAGCTCTGTGGGGTGGGGGGGGGGGGGGGGAGGAGAATTGAATGGGGCTCTTTAGCTGGACGGGATGCAGTGAGGAGAGAGAGGATGGGGCACGTCTACACCGCTACGTTATTTCGAAACAACTTAGTCCGCGTCTACACAACCGGCAGATACTTCGAAATCATGTCGGAATTCGGTCAAGCTGGGGGTCGTCTTGTTCTGACACCTGCGCCCCTCATGGTACAAGGAGTACAGGAAGTCGGAGGAAGAGCGCTCTCTTTCGATGTAAGGGCTGTGTCGACGCTCCCAGTTTTGAAATACGCTATTGCAAAACACGCTCCGCAGTTGACGTAGCTCAAGTTGCGTAGCTCATTCCCAGTTGAGCCTCCGGCACATGGCAGAACAAGGAGCAGTGGTCTCAAGTTGTGGTGGGAGAGCCTCTGGCACATGGCAGAACAAGGAGCAATGGTCTCAAGTTGTGGTGGGAGAGCCTCTGGCACATGGCAGAACAAGGAGCAATGGTCTCAAGTTGTGGTGGGAGAGCCTCTGGCACATGGCAGAACAAGGAGCAATGGTCTCAAGTTGTGGTGGGAGAGCCTCTGGCACATGGCAGAACAAGGAGCAATGGCCTCAAGTTGTGGTGGGAGAGCCTCTGGCACATGGCAGAACAAGGAGCAATGGTCTCAAGTTGTGGTGGGAGAGGTCCAGGTTGGATATTAGGAAAAACTATTTCACTAGGAGGGTGGTGAAGCACTGGAATGGGTTCCCTAGGGAAGTAGTGGAGTCTCCATCCCTAGAGGTGTTTGAGTCTCGGCTTGACAAAGCCCTGGCCGGGTTGATTTAGTTGAAATTGGTCCTGCCTAGAGCAGGGGGCTGGACTTGACGACCTTCTGAGGTCTCTTCCAGCTCTATGGTTCTAGGATTCTTTGTGTGTGTCTTTCTTGGTGCTTCTTGACTGATGATAGTCATAGGAGTGTTGTGAGCAAGGAGGAGTCATTCTTCCTCTCTCCTCTGCGCTGATTAAGACTCAACTGGAGGACTGAGTCCAGTTCTGGCACCACGTTTCAAGAAAAATGTGGAGAAATTGGAGAGGGTCCAAAGAAGAGCAGCAAAAATGATTAAAAGTCTAGAAGACATCAGCTATGAGGGAAGACTGAAAGAATTGGGCTTGTTTAGTTTGGAAAGGAGAAGACTGAGAGGGAATGTGATAGCAGTTTTCAACTATCCAAAAAGGGTGTTGACAAGGAGGAGGGAGAAAAATTATTCTCCTTGGTCTCTGAGAATAGGACAAGAAGCAATGGGCTTAAACTGCAGCAAGGGAGGTTTGGGTTGGGTATCAGGGAAAACTTCGTACCTGTCAGGGGGGTTAAACACTGGAATAAGTTGCCTAGGGAGATTGTGGAATCTCCATCTCTGGAGATATTGAAGAGCAGGTTGGACAGACACCTGTCAGGGATGATCGAGGGTGCTTGGTCCTGCCGTGAGGGCAGGGGACTGGACTCGGTGAGTCTCATTGCACAGAGGTCCATTCTTTGCACTGTACTGCAAACAGGTTATGCACCCCAAAGATCCACCCCATGGAACACTATTGTTTGGCTTTGGTATGGCAGCAGTGCCTCGAAGCACTGATCGGAACAGGGCCCCAATGTGCCAGGGGCTGTACAGGCCCCTGCTAAGAGACACTCCCTGCTCTGAAGAGCTTACAATAGCAATAGACAAGAGCCAGCGGGGGTGAGGAAACAGGTAAAGTGACACACCCAAGGCCACACAGCGGATCAGTGGCAGAGCTGGGAATAGACTCCCCTGGACCATGCTGCCTCTCCGAAGCAGATTAGCTCTGAATTGTGACTCCTTTCCAGTTTTCCCAGCTTGGATGGTAATGCTGAAAATATAACTCTGAGGCAGCTGATCTGTGCTCACTGCTTGGGGAAGCGCATTGAGAGAGATGCTGCCTTTTGAGGCAGGTCAGAGAACTGTCTGGAAAACGCTGAGAGCCGGGGCGCTGCCACCCCCTGTCCAGGGACACGGAGGTTCAGATGGAAGACATGATCTCCGCCTACCACCCCAGGCTACCTCGCACAGCCAGGGGAGCCCGGCTGACCCCTTGGTCAGCCAGCAGTCTTGGCTCAGAGGCCCAGGCCTGAATGGGCCATGGATCCTACACTGCTCCTGGCTGTGGTTTACCCGCTGCATGGCTAGAGAACTTGGCGTGGGGGGCAGGGCGGCCGTTTTCACCATGCCCTATGCCCACCGCATGCACGTGGTAACAACCCAATACCTTAACCCAGGGCTACTCGACACGCGGCCCGTTTGTTTGCGGCCTGCTGTGCAGTTTGGGTTTACACGGGGCTCAGCATGTGGCCCGTGGGTGGGATCCTTTGAACGTGGCCTCCACTGGGAACACGCTCCACAACGGTGAGGCAAATCCTGGGGGGGGAGCATTGAAAGACGCAAGCGGACAGGCTGGCTAGGACAGACGGGCACAGGGTGTTGGCGTTCCTAGCCCCCTGGGAGGAGGTGCCGGGAGAAGCTATTTGCATATATCTTTGCATGTCTATGCAGCCACACTTAAGTTGCAGCCTTTGGCATGTGCTGTGAGTCTCAGCATGGCCTCCAGGGCTGCCAAAGTTGAGTACCCCTGCCTTAACCTACGTCAACCCCGTCACTTTAAGAAAAAGTAGGCGAACTTGACACTCAGCGTCTGGCAAATAGAAATCTCTGGGGCTTGGATTCAGTCAGCCACGGGGCCCCTTCCAGGCCGATGTTCCTATGGGCCCGGTTCTCCACCTGAGCTTCTCTCATGAAGTGAGTCCAGCAGGGTGAATGGAGCCGGGCGCTGCGCCGGCCCACGCAGGCAGGCACGAAGCCCAGGAAGCAGAGTTAAGAGGCAGGAGGCGGATGTGCCCTTCTAGACCCATCTGTCCGAGCCGTCGGGTCCTGGAGCAGAAGGGATGCAAGTGGCTGAGCGCCAGGGCTGAGTTCTGCTTCACGGCAAGGTGGAGTCCATGTGCCTCTCTCGTTGTTGCAGGCCAGGCTAATGTGGGGCACAGGAGCCCCAGTGCCGGTGGGGATGCTAAGGGAAGGGGCCCTGGCTCCATCTGGCCATAGTAGGGAGAGAGCCCCCCACTTGTCTTCTCTGCACCCCCAGTTCTGGCATCTGAATTCCAATGCACCTCGCACATGGACTGACGGTGTTTGGACAGGGTCGTCCTCCCCGCCCAGTTCCCTCGCTGGAAGAGACGGGATTGGCCTTTCCCCTCCCGCGTGGGACTCTGTCTCTGCTCAGCTCCCCTTTCTTGCTCCTTGGCTGGGGGACCAGAGGCCCCGAGCTGCAGGAGGAGCCACTGGGCAAGGGGTTTAGTCTGAACCGTGGAGGGAGTTGGTCCCCCTTCCAGCCCCATAACACGGAGACCGGCCCTTTCCTGCATGGCCCCCTGAGGGCCCAGTTTCCTGGCTGCCAGCCGCTGCCCATGGGGGGTCCACACTGGGTTTGTGTGTGCAGAGACCATGTGTCGCGCCCTGGGCGTGTTGACTCTGGGTACTGCATTGAGCCCGGACGTCGACACAAGACAAAAGCTGCGAGATGCTGCAGGACTTGTGCTCCAGCAGCTGTGCAGCGGTGCTGGTGCAGAGCCAGGGCACGGGTCTTTCATCTGCTGGTGCAGAGCCAGGGCACGGGGCTTTCATCCGCTGGGGCAGAGCCAGGGCACGGGGCTTTCATCCGCTGGGGCAGAGCCAGGGCACGGGGCTTTCATCCGCTGGGGCAGAGCCAGGGCACGGGGCTTTCATCCGCTGGGGCAGAGCCAGGGCACGGGGCTTTCATCCGCTGGGGCAGAGCCAGGGCACGGGGCTTTCATCCGCTGGGGCAGAGCCAGGGCACGGGGCTTTCATCCGCTGGGGCAGAGCCAGGGCACGGGGCTTTCATCCGCTGGGGCAGAGCCAG